TTTTGCTAATTGAAGTTTAATTCTGTCTGTTGTTCTCTGCTGCCTGACAGTTTTTTTTTCCCAAAGCAACTGAGCCTGTTTTGTCCTCTCCCATGACAGGAGCTGATATGGATGTGTGCCTTACAAGCTATGGTCACTGTAACTATGTGTCTGGCAAACATGCCTGCATATTCTATGATGAGGTGAGTGCCTGCCTGAGGGGTTTTTTTATTATTATTTTCATTATTTGGTGTGCATGGCAGTGGGAGCTGGAGATGCAGGCAGCAGGTTGTCTTTGTGTGGTGCTCCTTTGTGGACTGCAAAGTAAGAGCCAGGGCTCAATGTGTTTCACTCCAGTGAAGGCTGTGTCAGCGTTTTCTGTCAAACCTTTTTCTGAAGCACAGAGCTCTGCCAGCACGATTTCTCTGAGCTAACTGCCCGTGGGCAAAGACTGACCACAAGTCAGCACTGTCACTGCTGGTGCCTAGGGAAAGAAAAAGTCATAGGAATGGTCTGATACTTTCTGATCCAGACATGTTGTTAATAAAAGCTCGACTTTCTTCACATGTCAACATCGAACCTCAGCTGCAACAAATCAGGGAATCGCTCTAAGCCCCTTGTTTTCAGGTGTGATGGGGGAGCAAAGTGTTCATACCATCTGTAGTACTCAGTATAAATTATTTATTTAGCTAAAATTTTGGTGAAGCTCGCAGCATAAACAGAAATCTACAGTTTCTCCTTAACTACAGCTCAGAGATTAGTTTGTTCTTGAAGTAAACAGACCAGCTGTGCCTGCCAATAGCAGTGCTGCTGGAGATGTCTCCTAGCATGGAAACGGTCTTTGAAGCAAGATCGAGTCTTTTGTATCACCATTTGTCAACCAGTTCCTGAGCAGGATCCAGGATTTTAACCCACAGCCAGCTTTAGCCATTGCTCCAGTGCACTGCAAGCCACAGAACACACTCAGTAATGGGATCCAGACCATAAATCTGTTTGGTCCAGACCAAAATCTGCAGTGGTCAGTCCTGTATCAGGCTCTAGGCACTGACATTCCACACTCCAGCAGGTTTTCTGTGGCTGTAGTATCTCTGGAAAGGGAGAATTCCCCTTCCTTGAGCTCCTGTCTGCTGGTTCTCCTTCTGCAGTCTATCAGCTTACTTCAAAACTTAACTCCCCTGTGCATGGGGAGTTTTTGTAACTTGATTAAAGCTCTGTGGTCCCTGGGGGATGAGGTCTTCAGCTCTCAGAAGATTCCTGTGAGCTAACCTGAAATCTCCTCCACTCTGTCAACATCCTTTGCAAAGCTCAGCTGAGCGTGACGCTGCTTGTGTAACGCTGCGTGTCATGGTAATGTCTCCTGGCATTTCAGCGTCTGCACAAGGCCTGTAAACCCCAGACTGCCTCTGTCCTGCGGCTGCTGCAGCACGTGGCATCCCCTTTGCCAGCTTGTGCCTGCTTTCCAAAGCACATCTCTTCCTGCCAGGCACAGGTATTGGGCCAAGTTTGCATCAGGTGTGCCCATAAAGTGATGTGCTTGCTTTGTGAGCATCAGCTTGAATAGCCTGTTTCCAAAAGATGTATTGGTCCAAGTGCAGTAGGGAAGACCTGCTTCATTTTGGCCCTCCTTTCCTGCCAGGAAGCAGATGAAAAGCTGTTGTTTTGTGAGCATGAGCCATGCATGGGGATTGGGTTGGTGGTGTCTGAGGCTAGAGGATATTTAACAGCTCTCACTTAACCATCAACAGTGGTAGAGAGGGATTGTGATTCAGTGCTCAAAATGGTTCATGGGCAGAAACCCTTCTGACTGACAGAGGACAGGTTTAGATTGGATATTAGGAAGAAATTCTTCCCTGTGAGGGTGGGGAGGCCCTGGCACAGGTTGCCCAGAGAAGCTGTGGCTGCCTCATCCTGGGGAGTGTCCTAGGCCAGATTGGACAGGAGCAACCTGGTCTGGTGAAAGGTGTCCCTGCCCATTGCAGGGGGCTGAAAGATGATGTTTAAGGTCCCTTCCAACCCAAACCATTCTTTGACTCAATGTCTTGATTCCCTCCTCTTCCTTTTTTTTTCAGAATACGAAGCATTACGAGCTGTTGAACTACAGTGAGCATGGGACGACCGTGGACAATGTTCTGTATTCGTGTGACTTCTCGGAGAAGATGACGCCCACTCCTCCCAGCAGTATTGTTGCCAAAGTGCAGAGTGTGATAAGTGAGTGTTGAGGCAGAGCCAGCCCCATGTACCACCACAGGGAGTTTTTGGAGGGGGATGGGAGTGGGTGGAAATCCTTGGTGCCCATTGTTCTGCAGTGGTTGGTGCACCCTTTGCAAAAAGGGGAGCCTCACCACAGGGTTTATGGGGTTACACAAGACCTTCCTCTGCAGCCTGAGGCGCTCTCTGCTCTGCTGTTAACACCACTCCAGCCTCCAGTGGTGGAGTTACCACTCCAGGTCCAACCCTGAGGCCTTTCCCCATGCATGTCCTCCCTTCCCAGGCTGTGAGAAGATCTGGGCTGTCCTGCAGGCATCCTGTCCCCACGTGGCTCACTCCTGTTCTCCACCTGATCAGCTTCCTCTTTTTGGGCTGCCAAAATAGATATGTAAATGCCTCGAACTCTCTGGGACTGTGAGGAGATTCCTGTTTCCCTTAGATCAGCTGCTCACTGCAAACTGAAATACCTCATGGCTGAAGGATTTTACCCTGAGGCACCTCAGCAGCCACCCCTGTTGATGAAAACAAGCTGCCACTGACCTGCCTAAATCTTACCAATTTTTTTTTCTTCATTCTTTTGCAGAACGACATAAAAGCAGAAAACAAGAAGAGGAGCCACATGAAGAAGCTGCTGTGATGAATTCACAGGCACAAGGGCAGCATCGGAAACCTTGTAACTGTAAAGCCAGCAGCTCCAGTCTGATCGGGGGCAGCGGGGCTGGCTGGGAGGGGACGGCCCTGCTCCACCACGGCAGTTACATCAAGCTGGGCTGCCTGCAGTTCGTTTTCAGCATCACCGAATTTGCGACCAAACAGCCCAAGGGGGATACTGCCTTAGTACAAGACATGGACTTGGAGGAGAAGCTTTCTCTGAAACCCCACCAGGTGCCCGTGCTGCGGTCCAACTCAGTTCCCTAGGAATTTTTAGGAAGAGAGCTTTTGAATTAAGGAAAACGCCCTCAGACTCTTGGCAATGCAAAAATGTACAAACCGAGGTGGGATTTTTCTGTGTCGGCCCAGAGACTGTTCACACGCCGTTTGCATGAAATGAAGAACGTTTAACTTTTTTTAATTTTTCTTTTTTGCTCAAGTTTTAGGGGCATTTGCACATATATTTGTACTATACATTTCATTTTAAAAGGAAAACTGCAGTGAGAGCAGGACGCGTCAGAGCGAGGGGCGACCGCTGTCTGACTCGAGGACTCTCTCTGACAGATAGTTCCCATGCAGTTGTAAAATAATCAGAAACTTGTTCTATTTTGTGCCAGTGACAATAGTTTTATATTAAAAGAGAAATACAGTTTTCATACAGCAAATCTATACAATATCATTGTTTTATTTAATGTAAAGAAGCGCTCTTCTTCCCACAGTTATTTTTTCCCATCCCTCCCTGCTATGGTTGCACTACAAGTAGCTACTGTGTATTATGGGCAGTGAGAAATGAGTTCTTTTCCTGGTGTCCATCTTATTTTTTATTTCAAATAAGGAAAAGTGTTGGATTCTGTGTAAATACATCAGTGATGGCATTTTTCAATGTTTTAAAGCTGTGTACAGTGCTACATGTGGTATGACGTTCCTCAAATTGTCTATTGTAGCAGATTGTTTGTCGTAACCTGTCTGTCTCTTTTGTTTCTCTGCCACCTCCCCGCAGCAGAACAGCTAGTTCCACTGTACATAGTAATTGTAACGTTTTAGACTTTACAGAAACTTTCCTGTATTCTGTATATAAAAAAAAAATACTTCACATTCTGTTTTCTCGACTGTCTGTCTTCACTCGTGTCACCACAACCTGGAGCTTCCTTCCCCCCAAGTGTCTGACCACAGCAGAGGAGCCTGAGGTGGGGCTGACAAGGCTGGGATGGGATGGAAGGAGCCTGAGGTCCTGTAAGGGGGATGTGGTGGGATGCTGGTGGTGTGGGAGGGAAGAGGGTGAGGACTGGAAGGTGATAAAATCACCAAAACCAAGTTGAGTTGTAAGGGACCTTTGAAGGTCATCTAGTCCAACCCCCTGCAATGAGCAGGGAAGTCTTGCAAGTCAGTCGGGTCCAACCTCACTTCAAATGTTTCCAGGGATGTGGCACATCCAGTTCTGGGCTCCTCAGGACAGGAGAGAGATAGTGTGTCTGGAAGCAACCTGGGAGATAAGGGGACTGAAGCCCTAATTTACAAAGAAAAGGCAAGGAAGTTGGGCCTATTTAGCCTGGAAAAGAGCTGACTGAGGGGATCTTACCCATGTATTTGAGAAGCTGAAGGGGGTGTGTCAGATGTTGGAGCCAGGCTCTTCACAGGAGTACTGAGCAATAGAACGAGAGGCAGTGGGCAGAAATGGGAACAAGGGAAGTTTCACCTCAACGTGAAAAGGAATTTCTTTACTGTGCAGGTAACTTAAGCACTGCAACAGGCTCTATGGGGAGTGCTGGACTCCCTTTCCCTGGAGGGAAACTTGGGTTACAGTCCCAAGTGCGCTCCAGGGGCTGGACTAGATGACCTCCGGTGTGGTCCCTTCCTACCTGAACCATCCTATGATTCTGTGATTTCCCACCCCTCGGGACAGGAGCGGTGGGGTCTGGCCCGGGGGGGGCAGGCGGTGCCCCTTGCCCTGTCCCCGGGGCATCGATCGGGACCCGCGCTGACCCGCATTCATCCTCTCCTCGGAGCCACGAATCGACCTCGCTTACCCTCCCCTCGAGCCGCGCGTACCTTGCCCCGTCCGTCCGTCCGTCGGTCCGTCCCGCCGCCGCGGGGAGGCGGGGGCGGCTGCGGGGCGGCCCCAGCGTGGCGGGGCGGGACCGGGAGGTGCCGGGCGGGGACGGGGTGGAAAGGAATCTCACCGGTAGCGGCGGCGGCGGCGGAATGGGGTGGGCGCTGCTGGGCGCGGGGCTGCTCCTGGCGCTGTACACGCTGCTCCGGCACGGGCTGCGCAGCGCCCCGCGCCCCCGCGCCCGCCCCGCGCTGCGCGGCCGCACCGCCATCGTCACCGGTGAGCGCCGGGAGGGGCCGGGAGGGACCCGGGGCAGGCCCGGCCCCCGCTCACCCGCGCTCACCTCCGCTCCGCAGGGGGAAGCAGCGGCATCGGGGCGGCCACGGCGCTGGAGCTCGCCCGGTGCGGGGCCCGAGTGATCCTGGCGACCCGCAACGCCCTGCGGGGAGAGGCCGCCGCCAGCCGCATCCGCACGGTGAGCTCCCCTCACCGGCACCCCCCTCGGGGGACCTCCAGGCACCCTCCTGGGCACTCCGATCCATGTGACATCCCGAGGCAGCACGCGGGCATCCCCAGACACCCCCATGGCACCCCCAGGACACTCCTGGCACCCCACGGGCAACTCCAGGAGACTCCCAGGATACCCCCATTTCACACCTCCCCTGGCACCTCAGGGTAGGACATCCCTGGATATCACATGGGCACGCCCAGACACCCCCTGGGCACCCTGAGGACACTGCCATGGCATTCCCTCAGCCCACCAGCGTTACCCTGAGAAACCCACAGGTACTCCCAAGAGACTCCCCAGACACCCTTAGGCACCACCAGGACACCCAAGGGGACATCTCTGGGCGTCACATGAGCAACTCCCTAAACACCCCTGTGGGTACACCAGGGATACCCCCAGGCCCTCCCAGGAGAACCCCTGGCACACCCCAGGGACACAGAAACACCCCAAGGCATGGGCAACCTGTACCATGGGGGGAGCTGCGTGGGCACTCCCTTCATGCTGGGGGGTCCCAGTATACTGCAGCCCCTGAGCATGCTACAGCCCTTTCACCCTGGGCCAGAACCAGCCCCCAAAGCATCTCCCCTCTCCCCAGCTGGATCCACCCCCACCCCAAGCAGGGTACCCCCAACCCAAGGCAGGATACCCCCACCCCTCGCTGTCCCCCAGCCCTGCTCCAGGCTCTGCTGTGCCCACAGGAGACAGGGAATGAAGAGGTGCGGTTCATGCACCTGGACCTTGCCAGCCTGCGCTCAGTGCGAGCCTTTGCCAGCACCTTCCTGCGGCAGGAGCCCCACCTGCACCTCCTCATCAACAATGCGGGTGAGTGCCGGGACCCCAAATCCCCCTGCCCCCTTGGGGCACCCGCCGTGGGCTGCCATTGCTTTCTGTGCAGGGGTGAGCGCCGGGGGCACGACAGAGGATGGCTTCAGCCTCCCCTTCCAGGTGAACCACCTGGGCCACTTCCTGCTGACCCAGCTGCTGCTGGAGCGGCTGCGGAGCTGCGGGCCCAGCCGGGTGGTCATTGTCGCCTCCAGCGCCCACTGTGCCGGCCGCCTGCACCTCGAGTCCCTGGGCCGCCCACCCCCGGGGCTGTTCTCCGCCTTCCAGGACTACTGTGACAGCAAGCTGGCCAACGTGCTGCACGCCCGCGAGCTGGCCACGCGGGAGCAGGACACGCAGGTCACCTGCTACGCCGTGCACCCAGGTAGGACCCAGCGCTGGGTGGGCTCACCGTCAGCGTCTGTGTGGGGTGTGCTCTGCACAGCTTTGTGTCCCTGTGTGTCCTGACCTCGTGCTTTGCATGGTGAAGTCACGTGCACAGGGAGTGTTCTGCACAGTGCAGCCTTTGCACAGGGAATTGATGCACGTGGAGCGTTGTCCCCTTGCATGGTTGTTACTCTTTGCACAGCGTGTCCTTTTGCACATGTGTCCCTTTGCACGGCATGTCCCTTTATATGGTGTGTCCCTTTGCAGTGCCCGTGTGTACAGTGTGTCCCCTTGCACAGTGGACCCTTACACAAATATCCTTGCGCAGAGCACCGTGCACCACTGACCCCCCACACAACCCTTGCATGGCCAGGGCAGGCGTGGTCAGTGCCAGCAGACATTCACAGTCACGCTGCCCGTGCCAAGGCCACCATGGCCATCTCTCCCCCGTGCGCTGTGGGGACGCTCCACATCCACATGTCACCCCGTGCAGGGTTTGTCAACACAGCGTTGTTCCGGTACGCGCCGCTGTGGCTGAAGCCGCTGCTGCTGCCGCTGGCCTGGCTGCTGTTCCTGGAGCCGTCCGAGGGCGCGCAGGTGGTGCTGGACTGTGCCACGCGGGACGGCCTCGAGCCCCTCAGCGGCCGCTACTTCACCGACAGTGGCCCCCAGCAGCCGTGGCCACGGGGGCGCGATGATCGGCTGGCACGGGCGCTCTGGGAGGGCAGCGAGCGCCTGGTGGGGCTGAGGGAGGATGAGGTGGGACCCTCTGCAGCTGCTCCCGCTGCTCCCACACAATAAAAGTGATGGTGGCAAAGAGGGAGCCCGTCGGGTCATGTGTGGGGGTGAAATGAGGATGTGCGAGGAGCCGCGGCACGCAGGGGCAGGTGAGCACGTGAGGGCTCAGGCACAGGCACTTACCAGGCCCTGCTCTGCCTGGGGTGGTGTGTGTGTGACACAGAATGAGTGTGCAAAGGGGGTGGTGGGTGTGTGCACACCGCAGTGTGTGCATGGACAGTGTAAGGCAGGGGTGGGTGTGCTGCATGCATACACACACAGAGCAGCACACACATCCCACCTTGTACGTTTGTGTGCACACTGAAGCACACGCAGACCTCCCTCCCTTGCACACCTATGCACTTGCTGCAGTGCACACGCGCCTCTTTCAGGCACACACCCTTCTCCTCTTGGACGCCCAGTGTCACACCCCCCTTTGCACAGCGTCTCACACCGCCTTGCACACCCGCTGCGGTCTCTCCCTTGCACACCCCAACATGGCGGCGCCCACGGGCCTCCCTCCCCCGGCGTGAGGCGCCGACCTTCCCAACATGGCGGCGGGTCCCGGTCCCGCCCCCCGGGGTGGGCCGCCGACCTCCCCAAGATGGCGGCACCCGCGGGCCGCGCCCCCGCCGAGCGGGGCGCGGGGGTTTGTGGGGGTGGGCGGCGGTGGTGGTGGGGGCGTTTTGGGTGATTGCGGCACGGTGGGGCCCAGCGAGGCGCTGGTGGTGTCAGGTACGGCCCGGGCTGAGCGGCAGGAGAGGGGCTGAGAGGTCCCTGTCGGGGTGGGGGGGAAGCACTGAGGGAGTTGGAGGTTCTGGCTGTCAGGGGGCTCTGTGGGGTTCGAGGGGTCCCTGGTCGTGAGGGGACCATGAGGGAGTTGCGAGGGGTCTCTGTATTGGGGTCTGCTGGGAGGGGGGGGATTAGGGGTCTTGGCTGTGAGGTGCTCTCAGTGGTTTGAGGAAGGGGACCCTGAGGGAGTTGGGAATAAACAGAGGGGAGATGCTGTAGTGGAATTGGGGGCATCTCTGTAACAGGATATGCTGGGAAGGGCTCCTGATGGGAATTGGGTGGGTCTTGGCTGTGAGGGGACTGTCAGGGGTTCGAGAGATCCCTGTCGTGGGGGGATCCCGAGGGAATTGTGGGGGTATCTGTAATGGAATTGGGGGGCATCTCTGTAATGGGGTCTGCTAGGGGGGGGTCCCTGGTGGGAACTGGGAGGTCCTGACTGTGAGGGACGTCTCAGGGGTTCAAGGGGTCCCTGTCAGGAGGGGACCTTGCGGTGTTGTTGTTCCAGGGGTGCCCTGCTGTGGGTGGGCACTGAGTGCTGGGGGTGTCCCTGTGAAGCAGGGCTGGGGGGCAGCTCCCGCTGTGTGGACCCCTGGGCTCTGGGGTGGGGTCTCTGCAGGGACCCCTGGGCTCTGGGGTGGGGTCCCTACGGTGCAGAGCAGTGGGCGAAATCTGCTGCCAGCAACACCCCCGATGCTGCTGATTTTGGATGATGTCAGGCAGTGGCACCGACAGAGCTTTGGGCCCCCCGGCCAACAGCAAGTTGGCTTTGCTGGGGAAGAGGACAGAACTTTATTAATTATTGTTAGGTTAATTAGTTATTCTTAGTGATGTAAGGGCTGGGAGCTTCGCTCTGTGACAAACTGGGGCCAACTGCAAGGTAACAACCAGCTTAGACACAGATGTTGATCACTTCAGGTGTCCTCCATCGTGTCACATCCCCATTGTCAGTGCTGGCCCAGGCTTTGGGGTGGGTGCTGTGACGCTCAGACCTAAACTCACCCATGTGAACATCAAGGATGTGCCTCAGTCATGGCTCTGCTGCGCCTTGTGGAACTACATTGTTGTGTTTTTGGAGCCAGAGTCTCCAGTGGACTGTGGCTGTGTAGTTATCAGTTCATCTCTCTCAGATAATAGACTTGTTACGGGAATTCCTGAGGAGATGCCAGGAGCAGGCTGCAGTCCTGGAAGCAAATACACCCGCTGTGGGCATAGTACAAACCAGGAACCTGCGAGATTCCTGGAGCAGCAGTATTCCTTGCGGTTTCCTGGTCTCGTGCACATCTCTGCAATTCCCAGTGGAATCTAGAATTGATGCTGTGCTTCCCTCCAAAGAGACTCCCGTCAAAATTGGCGCTGCTTGGTGAAATGCCACATTTGCGGGAAGATTGGGAAGCTGTGCTCCAGGTGTGCCCGCAAGTCTTAAAGCTTGGGTTTGCTTCTGTTCAGTTCTGGAGTTTGCAAAACACAGCTCGCAGGATGAACCAGCAGGAATTTGTGGCATCTGCTGGCAGTTCCAAGTATTGTGCGTTCCCAAAACCCAGAGCAGCGAGCCAAGGACACTCCTGGACGTACAGCCGTGTTCTGGGAAGGGTGCAGAGATCACCCCTGGCTCTGCCAGTCGGAATGGGCTTTGGAGCTGCCACCAGACATGGTTTTCCTCTGCTCCTGCACAACTTGGTCTGCAGACACTTTCTGTCTCCTGAGGGCACCAGCTGGGAGCTTCAGGGGCACCCAAGAGGTTGTGGGAGCTCTGCAGCTCCTCTGTGATCATGTCACTACCAGGACATTAGTGGGAGGGTGTAGCTACAAGCAGTTGTAATTCCAGGAACTCGTCATGTTCCTCCAAGGAAAAGAGAGGACCTCGAGGGCCAGCATTAATTTGTATGATACTAAGTTGGATTTGAGGAGAGAGGAGAAGGCAGGAAGAAACCAATAATTACCAATAAACCAAAATAGTATTAAATCCATTTTAAGTAATTTAAATCAAATATTATTAAAAACAGGCTTTTGCCTTGCAGTCTTGAATTGTCATACAATTGTTATTTGAAAGTCTTCACTTTGTGGGAGGGCACCTCCAAACCATGAAGCCAGTTGAAAGTTTTCTTTATTGTAAATTTAGCTTGTGCCTCTTGGCCTTTAGTTCTGGGCCTCCCCTGGCATGTGGGGTTTTTCTGGGGAAGGGTGTTCTTTCTTTTCACTTTCTTGTGAGATATTTGAGTTCCTCCAGTGTTCAAGGAGCAGCCAGCTGTGCCTTGGAAAAGTGGAGCTTTGTAGCCTTATTTGGGAAGCTGCTTCCCAGGCAGGGCTCGGCTCTCTCCGCCGGCGCTCACGGCCTTCCCCTGTTGAGCAACATCCACCTCCTTCTGAAAAACTGCACTCAGCTAAGTGACCCCCCGGTGAATTGTGGAGCCCAGGCTTTGTAAGGCTCTGTAATGATGGTTTTCCCAAATTTTGGGTGTAACTTTGCTGGGTGAGGTTTGGTGCAAGCTCTGAGGAGGCGGTGGCAGGCGCCTGGCGCATCACTGAGCCCACTGCAAGCACAGCTGGAGCGAGTTGAGTTTTCAGGGAGATACACAAAGTACCTCTTCATCCTAATACCCAAATGTTCCCACCAGCCAAATAGGCTGTGAAATGCTGGGTTTGGGTTACAGTCTGGTCGAACGCGGCTTTCGTGGATCAATCTGCTGATTTTGAAATATAACGCTGTAATATTTCCACAGAGTCTCATTATAAGGAAATATAATTTATAACGGCCATGTTCATATCTTACAGTTACCAAACAGTGTTGCCCAAATCTCTGCAGTTGGGGTGCTTTCCTTCTGGCTGTGGTCGGCTGCAGGGTGGCACTGTGCAGGAGCAGCCCAGCAGCAGAGGAGCTCTGAGGGGAACACCTGGAGATACGTGACAGGGCAAGGTTGGCCCAGCCCTCCGTGTTCCTGCGTGAGAAAAAACTTACTGCTTCAGCAAAAATTCAGGGTGTGAAAGAAGGAAAAAGATCAGGGGAATGCAACCCAGCCAACCCAGCTGCATGCCCTAGGAGAACACTGCCACAAATACGTTGCTGGTAACACCTAGAAGAACACAACCACACATATTTGCCACGTCCAGCTAATCTGATTCCCCTTTGGGTGAGCAGAAGTCAGCCTGAGAAATGCAGTGCAGTCCAGTTTCTCAAACTTTAGTTTAGTGCAACACCCTTTGGGGCTCCTTGGTGTCTGTCAAAGTGAAAAAACAACTAGCAGTTAATTCTAGTTTTGTGTAGGCATTTGCGGCTGCACCCCAGCAGCTGGGGGTAGTCAGCCTTTCCAGAGCCACTCTAACGCTCTCCCATCCTGGTGCTGCATCCCTCTTATCCCTGCAAGAACTGATTGTGATTTTGAGGCTGGTATTTTCATGGTACTGCTGTAAGTTGAAAGCCTGAAATAAAGATTTCTTGAGGCTTTGCAATCCCGTCCTGCAAAAGACCTACAGTCCACAGTGCAAGGAGGAACAGGTTTCTCAGATAGTATGAAATGAATATTTCCAAGCCTGGAAAACCATTGCCAGGGAACTTGACAGTAGCTCACTGTTCAGCTGAAAGAATTTATCAAGTCCCTTGTTTTGGCTTGGATAATGGAATCAAGAATGTGCTTATTGAATTTGCAGAGAGTACTGAGCTGGGAATGGGTTTGAGAGCTTTGAAGAGCTGGATTAGAGTCAAAACAAACTCAGCAGATTGACCCAATGGGCAGAACGAAATCTGATGCAGTTCAGTAAGGAGAAATGCAGAGATTACACTGAGGTGAGAACAACTGATTGCATGAAAATGGAATGAGAAGGTCCAGGCCGTGTCCTGTGGAAAGATGAGGTGAGCAGCAAGAGCCACCTGGGCCCTAATGCTGGTGCAGTTCCAGTTCTTCAGACTCAAAAATAATAGGAGTTTGTGGGAAGCGAGCAGGCAGCTTCAACTGAGGTTTTGCCCTGTCTGTGTTCATGCCTTCATTTCAAACTGTCCCCCAGGGTTGAGCTTGAGGTGTTCTACCTCTTGCACCAGGGAAACTGTGTGCAGGAAACTTGTAGTGGCACTACAGATGGTTTTTAGGAAGCCAAAAATCTTTCCCCACAGTCGGTTTGTCACTGCTTGTGATGCTCAGTGTTTGCTGACAGAGTACAGCATCAAGGCTGGTCTCAAGTCATGAGGTTACCGGTGCTCCAAAGGGCCCCTACACAGCTCCTCTGTGATGTTTCTTTCTCAGGAGGTAATTCTTCACCTTTTTGCAGGTGGTGGAGCTCAAGGTTTACTTGTCAGGTGCTTGCTAAATCTCCAGGACTTGCAAATTACTCTTTGGAAAGCATGGCAGGAGAGGGAGGTGGACAATAGCCTCAGGCCTTTCCTTTTAGTTTCCAAGAGGAATTCTGAGGTGGTATCTCTGTGGTATTGTTTTGTAGCTTCCTTGTGGTTTGTGGTCTCTGAGTTTCGGTTTACAAGAGAAATTGCTAAATGTGTTTTTAAACTCGCTCTGTAGCATTGATACTCATTTAGTCATTTTGATATAGATTACATTCCCAAACAAGATAACCAGCATAATCTGCTTTCATCTGCTGCAGTGACCATCAAAGGCTTTTATGGATTCAACTCAGAACCTTGCATCTTTCTAAATTAATTTTTGTTAACCTTGGACCATTTCTGCATGTGAACAAAGCCTAATTTATATGCACATCGTGGCCTAAGAGCCAGACAGTGACTTTAGTCTGGGCCCTGCTTTAGGACATGATTTTCTTTATGTATGCCTTTGCTTTCCTCTCTCTCTGCATTATCTCTTCTGTCAGTAACTGTTTTCAATTATCAGTTTTTTCCTTGTCTGTCTGCACTCAGCAGCCTGTTTACCACGACCAGGTTTCGGAATGCTCACCACTTCCTGCCAGAGAGGTAACTCAGTGCCCAGGTTACCTGGGGAGAGCAAACAACACAGAGCTTGTTCAGATTGTCCCAGCTTTGATGTTTTGAGCACTGTGTCCCTGTGACTGTTGGGGCTCACGTTCTTCTTTGCCCGCCATCCATCAGGGCAGCAGCTTCCTGCATCTGCTGAGAGCTCCTTTTATCCACCAACTCCCAAGCGATTAATCTTATTTCATAAAAAAAAGTACAAAACCAAAACAGACAACATACTTTCTTCTGGCTCTGGGAATTCTTGCTTGAACATGGAAGCCCTTTGGGAAGAGGCCAAGCTGGCTGGCAGCTCCCTGGCTATGAATCCTCCGTTTGTGGCCCCACAACAGTGCCCCGGAAGAGCACGGTGCATGTTTGTGGAAGTGGCCAAGTGACTGTGAGACCCAGGCTGCTGGAACAGTGGGCATATTATAGCTAGAAAAGGCAATTTCTCTGCCAAATCTCATTGTGCAAAAGGGTTTATTCTTTAGCCTTGCAAAGATTTCGCTTTGTTGGTTCCTTTTTCACTCGAGCTCTGAGAATTGAGAAAGAGGTGGCAGGGCTGCCGTGGAAAAATGAGCCCTCAGCTCCTTGCCTTACCAGGACGGAGCTCTGCTGCACTCAGATGTCCAGCGTGCATGAAAGCAACCAGCTGGCATCCTGCTCCTCCTTAATGTTTTAAGATTTCCCTGTTTTTCTTATGCTTTGCACACTTTTTTGACATATAATCTGGCTCAGTAGACCGTGATGCGTAGCGCCAGGAAGCAAATGTGGAGCTCGCTTTGGGTGTGATACTAAATAAGGTATTCCTTGCATTTCCTGAGGAAGAAAAAGAACATCTGTGTGGAGAGACATGTTCCTGTAACAATGGTGGGTTTAGGGTGCAGAGCTTTCTCAGATTATTAAGAAATGATTAACAGAGTTCGGTAAAGACCACACAGACCCTGTGAAATAAAATACCTTTCTGTGTGGAGCTGCTTTTCCTGACTGCCAGGAACACCTCCCTTCCTGTTCTTGGAAAACAAGGGCCTGGCTGAAAGGCTGAGCTAACTGGGCTGACGTCCTCCAAGAAATGTTAAAGACCTTGTGGTTGCTGCAGGATATTGTGTCATCAGCTACTGTAACACTTGCCTGGCTGAAATAGCCTTCCAGCTACCAGAAGAAGCCATCCAAGGGCTGGCTCAGGGGTTGACAGGAGAATATTCCTCTAGGCTGTGGAGAACAGGAGATCTGAAAAAGTCTGTAAATCGGTTTCCCATTTGTGTTTAATTCCTACTGAAAAAGAAGGGTGAAGAATTGTAAATGGGACTGATCTGCTGGTTCTGCTTGATCGCTTGATCCTCCCAGCCTGTGTCCTAACCGGGGAGCTGCAGAGCTCCTCCCTTCCCAGGCATGAAACCCAGGGTGGGTCACTGGCAGGGTACCCTCTTGAAAGCAGCAGGTGTCTTGTTCCTTGAAGCAAAGGTATGAAAACCCAGACAGCATCTTCCAGCTTCACTGGGATCAATCTTAAATGTGTCAGAGGAGTTCTGGAGGCTGCCTGAACCCTGGGCACAGCCAGCTCTGAGATGGACCATCAAAGCATCAGGCACTGTGCTACTTGCACAAGTCAGAATTAGGAGATATTCTGGGGGAGCTCAAGGGTTCTTCCTTCCTCCAGGAGCTTCTCTGGGAATTTAAGGGTGGTTTGCAGTGTGTAGTGAGGGAAAGGAAATGGATTTCTAATGTGGCTTTCCCTAACAATTGATATCACAGTTGAAGATGCTTCATTGATTCTGATTGCTAAAAGTGCTTAAACTGCTTAACAAAGTAAAACTAAAATAAAATCCTGGTTTGAAATACAGTCAGTTTCTGCCTGTTACTGCTCTTCATTCTGAATTGCTACAAGTACTATTTTCCAGTTTTATAAGACAATTCCAAAAAAAGGTTGCCTTGGGAAAATGGCCATGTGAAAGCCTGTGGAGGTGAGGAAGAGCATGGGGTTCCCAGATGGGCAGGCTTGTTGTGAAGTTGTTCTGCTCATGACTCGTTCTGGATGCAGTTTTTTCCTGCCCAAGAGCACCGTGCATGTCTGTAATCCCAGTGTCCCTGTGCTCTCTGCTGTGCTGCAGGTGGCTGCTGTGGCGTTGATGAGAAGCACTGTGTGTATGGAGGCTGGGCTTGGGCTTGGTGGTGCATTACTGACACCCAAAGGTAAGGAGACCCCCGTTATTTGTGGGGTTTTTGGAGTAGGAATTAGGCAAAGCCGTCCCAGTGGGGCTGTCAGCAGTATCTTTGGGAACATGGGACTGGGTATGAAACCGTGGATGAGCATCAGAGTTCTTTGCTGACTGTTTGCATGGGGACAGCTGTGTGTACACAGTGCAAAAGACACAGAAAAAGAAATCCCGTGCTTTCAGCTGCAGTACTTTTCAAATGGCCTCTCTGTCCACACCTCTCCTCAAACCCAGGGTGATCGTGTTTGTTTGGTTTTTTTTCCTTTTTAGTTGTGTTTTATGGTTTTTTTTACATAAAACCCACCAAGCTGAGAGAACCAACTGACTGGTCAGTGTATTTCTTCCTGTGCTGGTGCAGTGAGTGCTGAAGAGGGAAAAAGCTCTGCTGACCTTCCCAGCTTTGAGGCTCTGGCAGAGGTGCTGGCAAGGGCACTGGGTTGGCTCATCCATGAGTTCACAAGAGGAGCCAAGTTCTGCCCAGTACAGCCCAACCCCTCACCCAGTAACAAACCAGTTTGTGGCCTGCAGTGCCCCCTCCTGCTCCTCAAGTCTCTCTTTCTGAAGATCTGCTGACTGCTCTCACCTTGGGAGCAGATTGTTCTGATTTAAAACCACGGGACTGCCTTTCTCTCCCTTTTCTCAGGAATTGGAATTGGCTTGCTGCTGCTTACGGTCTGGTGTCTGAGCTAACGTGCTGTGGTAGTGCTCCTGTCCTGCTAATACAGCTCTTTGTCTCTAGGATCTGTAGGGGTGCCAACTCTCTCCCAACACATCCCTCATGCTCACCAATACAGGCTTCCTCCATCTGTGTAAAAAAAACAACAGGGCAAAGGATAAAGATGTGACTTTTGGGTTTTGTACTGAGCAATGGGCAGAGGTTGTAGCTAACCCTTACTGCCTGGTCTTCCAACCTGTTTTCCCTGTTCATGTGTTGCCACTAGCAGACAATTGAGCGTGTTGCTGCCCTCACTCTGTGGATGATACCTGGGGGTCATGCACCTTTCCTTGCTCCAAGGGGTCCTGGCTGCTGCTGTGTTTAATCCAGGCAAGCTTCATTCCCAAATTTTTGTGAGACATCTTGTTGGGAGAGCTGTTAATTGAGGAAATGGTTCCTGCTCCTACTCTTCTTATGTGAGAAGTGCAGAGAGTGATGCAGGACCTTGACCTGCTGAGTGCAGGAGATAACAGGTACATTTGGGAGGCTGATTTATTAAGGATAGGCTGAATCCAGGGCCAAAACTGCTTGCCAGGAATGAGCTGTTATGTGAGGGAGAGATCCGGTCATTATTTAGCAAATGGGGCTCTTGACAGGAATTCCAGCACCCAGACAAATCTTTTAGTTTAAAATCTATACTCCCAGTTCACACCACGGGATGTGGGGCTTAATTCTGCCTTTGAAAACAGAGCCTTTCCCACATGCCATAAGCTGTGCCCCAGATGGAGCCCACTGCATTAACATGAAGAGTGAGGCAGATTTCCTCCTCTGAAATTAGGACATTTTTTCTGGAACTGCCAGTGCTGCGAGCAAGAGAGACAGCAGCAATTGTGTTGCTGTCAGCGGCGTCCCGCCAGGTAGCACTAACCTGGGAACAAAAGGAACAGTTAGAGCTGGCAGGGTGCTGGGCACTTATCCTGCTGCAACCTTGAGCACTGGGGAAAAAACAAGGAAAACAAAATGCTGCCCTTGTTTAGGGATCAGAAATAAAAGCAGGGAGAGAGACAGTGTGGTCTAATATGCCTCTGGGGGAGCCAAATGGTGTTAATTCAGCTTCCCAGGACAGACTTGGAAGCAGCTTCTCTCGTCAGTGCCTTAGCCAGGGGTGGGTAGCCAGGTCCCTACCATTTTCATTTTGTCTGGCCTCTCTTAAATGTTGACATAGAAGCATCTAAATTATTAGGAAAATGAATTTTCTGTGTGCAAAGACTACTTCAACAGAGAATTCCAGCTGACTCCAACCTGGCTGTCCAGGTGGGATAGATGGTTCAGTTTTGTGTGCAGGGTGGAGATGAGACCCCAGCCTGCCTATCCTCAGTAAAAGAAGCAACTGCATGGTATAAACTCCCTGCCAGAACTAGGGAAGCTGCTCTGGCCCATCATTACAGAGCCCTGGGAGTGGGCAGTGGGAGAAAGGCAGACTGAGCAGGGAAAAGCTGAAACCTGAAAGTCTCGTCCATCCTTTGCAATGAGTGTCTTACTCTCTGGTTACTGCTCTGTGTATTTGCTGTCCTACCCTTATTCCTCGCTGCTCAGAGTGTCTTTGGAGGTTATGACCATCCTGTGTCGCTGTGAGAATGTTGAGACATCGGAGGGGGTCCCACTGTACGTAAACAGGGGCTGCACAGGTAATAATCCACCAGCTTCCTAACACACTGTCTAACTGTTTGTCCCTCTGTTTTGAGCAGCAGCAGCAGCAGCCACAGGATAACATAAAACCTAATGGTTTTCTAATGGGACAGAAATCTCGATACCCTCCTCTCCTTCCCCCTTCTCCAGCACTTGCCCTGAGGCACTCCACAGTTTATAGGTAGTGCAGACAGGTGCATCCTTGGCAAATTCCAAGTTCAGCATTGCTGTGCCTAACATTTGCTCCTGCTGTAACCCTTTCCTTGCCAGCACTGTTTCCATTGTGGGCTTGGTGGAGAGCAGAAGGGCATCTGCTTTTGTGTGGAGGCACAGTCAGGCCAGGTTGGATTCTGTACAGGATTTGGGACAGGTGGGAAGGCAGGCTTTGTGCTGTTTCAAAGGAAACCTGTACACGTGTAGGCAAATTTGCAACCATACCTGGCTCTGCAGTTTTGGCTATGGATTTCCACTCAACCCTCCTTCCTCCACGTGGAGACAGTGCCCATTTTTCATGTTGTCATGTTTGAAAGTACAGCACAGAGACCTCGGATGAGCAGCACCACACAGGACTGGCATTGGCACTGTGAGCAGCTGTGAGCCCACAATAACCCAACATCCCTGTGAACTGCCAGCTAAGCAGCAGCACAGCTTGGAAATCAAATTCAAAGTGTAGATTAGGTTTTCAGAAGGCTGAAATCCCGCAGTATCTGATTAAAGCTCTGAATGCACATGGCAAAAAATGTCTGTGCACGTCCTGGACAGTGGGATCTGTTTTATCAGCTCCCAGTTTGCGTGCCAGTTTAATTAGGACAGTGGCCAAGGCAGGCATGAACTTGCAGGGATAGGTTTCAGCACTTCCAGCCAATCCTGGAGTGACTCAGCTTGCATGCAGCAGCCCAGGGCAGCCCCTTCATGGTTCAGATGTTTGACCTAATGTTCACTGACACAAACTCTCTGCCCTGTGGCTCCCTGTCCTGACTCCCAACGCCTTTCCGGCTTGTTATGGCTGACACGGGAGCTTCCTGAAACAGAGCCTGCCATGGCCAGGCATGTCTCTTGTTTTTACAGATCGTGACCTGCTGGGTCTGACCCAAGTATCTCATGCCCACCTTGGGTGACTGAGAAAGCTCTGGAGCTGCAGGATCTGTTCCTGGGTGCCTGATGCTCTACAGGCCTTGGCCTTAAAGAGCTGGAGACTCATTTCTATTTGCCTTTGGGTCACAGGAAGAATAGAGGAGAGATGAACTAAATCAGAGGGTAGGTCTGTGGTAGTGCTAATCCAGGGCTGCTTCTTGCAGCATCAGTGCCAGGTTCTGCCAAGCACAGGGCTGCTGTGCAGGGAGTGGGAGCATCCCAGTTCCGTGCTGTGCTTTTAAACCAGTGACACCATCCTGCAGTGCCGTGGCACAGCGAGCCTCTGACTGAGGGCCCTTTGGAATCCCAAAGCTGCCAGCTTCTGGCCCCTCACTAGCCCAGCAGGAGACAAAGGGTCACAGGATCATTTCCAGCCTTTGCTGATAAATTACCTTTAAGCATTATCTGAAAATCTACTTCTTGGTCAAAGTGCCCTGTCTGTCTCCAGTCACAGATGTGCTTCCTCGGCTGCACTCTGTGCCTGTCTTGCATGACCTGTGATGAGAGTGGCAGCTAACCTGGGGCAGGAGATGCAAAGGGAAGAGGTGAGTGTGTGTAACCTGGAAATGTGCAAATATTTTACATTTTTTGGCAGGATTTCCCTAGAAATAATGACGTTACAGCCCAGGTGTGAGGACGTAGAGATGGCAGAGGGGGTAGCTATAACTGTCACAGATGTGGCACAGGTACAGTAACTCCAAAACATCATTTCAGGAATGGATGTCTCTAACTTACCTCTGGTTTTGCCCCTTAAGAGGTTACTGTTGTTCAGGGGGAGAAGCCAACTGCTCTGAAACAAATCCTTGTGCAAAACCACAGTGTCCTTGTTGGTTCAAACACGCTCCAGCATGTCCCGTGTGGTGAAGGGGGTTATGACCTCTCCTTCTCTCCCCATAATCATTTTTTTTCTGGTGTCTCATTTGTCCCTGGGGCAAATGAGGTGTGTGGGGGTGACTTGATGTGTTTGTGGAATGCTGATGTGCCACGGTGCCCTTGGAGCTGTGTGTGACCCCACTGGACTGAGCTGTTCCCTCCAGAGGTGGCATCGAGCATTATATTGCTTTGGATATTATTTAGCACATGGACCTTGCAATTCTTCACAGTGAGTTAAAGCTTAAAGAAAATAACTTAGTCCCTCCAGGCACTAAGATTTGTGTGTGAAATTTCTGGCTTGAATTGAATTTTGATTCTCTCCAGCCTTCTTCAAATGTAAGAACTGCTTGTGACAGCACACTGAACCCTGCTCTTCTGGGAGTCTGAGGTCTGCTGCCCTAGTACAGCCTGTCCTTGTGCCCGGGTCCTGCCCTGGGGAGGATGCTGGGAGGTAGATGTTAGCTTTTGAGGGAATTTGGCTCCGTGAATAAGCAGCTGGAGGCTTCGATTGAGAATTTCTCCTGACAGCTCATTCTGGGTGTATAAACCAAGAGTGGCTCTCAGTGCACACAGGGCTGGGGTCACTGTGTGTCCAAGGCATGTGCAGGTGGGTTATCGCAGGAGAGGTGGCTGCCACATTCCCTGTGGGGAGCTCTGGAGCTGAGGGCAGCTGCTGAGTGACACAGTGATGTGATCAAAATCCCTGATGGCTCAGAAGGCTCCCCCAGGGAAGAGCAACTGTGGTGCTGCTGCAGCCCTTTGAGACCGAGCGCTTGACAGATTTCCCCCAGTGCTCCCAGAGCAGCAGGTTCCTCCTGGCTTCATTGGTTTGCTCTGAGCTGATGCTGCAGGGGAGCTGTGTTTGTATGTATGTATGTGAGGATTTGGATTCGGCCAGGAGCAGTTTTTGGATTACCACATGTGACAGGAGGGCTGGGCATGACCGTGACTCAACAGCAGATAATCCATCATCCTCCTGCTGTTGGGAAACAGGGATACATGCAAGAGCACCAGCATGGGAGCCAGCATCTTGGGCACATCCTGGCACTGATGATGTGAGCCAGCATCCTTGGCTTCATCTTATCAGTACTACATATCCACCTTTTAGTTCTTTTCCAGTTCTTTATATCCATGGTAGCTGCTAAGGTGTCACATAACCCCAGTGGTCTTTGCATGGTTGGCAAAGTGTGAGCACCCATGTCTCCCTTCACGCTCATTTCCTAAATCTGTAGGCTTTTCCTTCTGTTTCTGTGAAGGCAGCATTCCCTTTTGTCCCTAGTTTTTGGGACATGCCTGTCTAGGCTGGGTGGTGTGTGGTAGCAGAGAGCTGGATCACCAGGTGCCTTGGTTCAAAAATGCAACTCCCACTTCCTCTCATTCATGTTACTCTCTCTTCCCACTGTTCATTTTTTTTCTCTGTCTGTTAATTTTAAAGGTGAGAGGCGAGGAATTGCCATGCAGAAAGCAGACTTGAGGCTGTTGGGGATGTGCATGGCACAGGTTACCCTAATTTTGCAGAAGTACTTTTGAGGCAAACGTTTTTCCTTTCAGAACTTGAGCAAAAAAAGGAAAACAAATTATTTCTAGAGAAAGAGCTTTTAGAGTGTTTGCTGTAATGATAGAAGTGCTTAATGTGCGTAAGGATGCTGTTCTTTTCTTGAAGAGGGATGTAATGAGTGCTCACCAGTAGCCTCCTTCCTGTGCTGGCTGGGTGCTGGGATGTGCTGGGATGCTGCTGCCTTAGGCCAGCGCTGGGCTCCACATCCTTCTGTACCATTTTCCTGAGCCTCGGGCTAATTGGATTCTCTGGACTGGCCCCACACTGCGAGTGCAGCTGGCTGGAGCTGGAGCGGGGTGCGGCGGTATCGATCCTCCACACCGGATTGTTGGATGGAGGCTCTGATTCCCTGCCAGCTGAGTCCTCTCCCTCTGATGGGAATGACATTTGAAGAGGCGCCGAATGTCGCAGTGCCCTGCCTGAAATCCTGCAAACACGCTGAGCACAAATTGCTCAACCCCGGTTTCTTTTGTGCAGCCTTGGCTGTGGAGGTTGGTGTCCGTATTCTGCGCAGAGCCAGGCTCTGAGCTGTCCAGGGCTCAACAGTTTAGGCTGGCTGGCTTTATTCAGAGGCTAAACCATTCCTTGCTCCTAAGTACCGCAGGGATTCTCTTAATGAACATCCTGCTCCGTGCTCTGTCCTCCCCGCAGCTCCCGAGGGTGGGGATTGTTTAGAGAGGTGGAATTGCTGGCAGATGCACACCATAAATGTTGCTGCTGAGTCTAATTGGTTTTGATACTTGCAAAAACCTCGTGGAGGGCTCATGCTCCCGGGTGCAGCTCCACAGCAGCTCTCCCAACTCCCCCTTGTGTGGGAAGAGCACAGTGCTGGGTGCAGGGACAAGAAAACTGGGGCCTGACCCCAAAAGGATCTCAGAGGTTTTGAGACAATACAGAAGAGGATTGCCATGCTTAGCTGTGATTCAGTCTGGCATTTTGACCGAGAGGTCCCACCTGGGAAGCAGCATTAGGAAATAGGGTCAGCCCAGTTCAATGTTTCTTCATGTTATGAGGGACAGGGTTGTGGCAGGTAAGTCCTGGCCAGCTTGCCATCCCCTTAGAAGGTCATGGTCAGTCCCAGTTGTCCTGACAGAGTAGGGGCCAGGTGCTACTGTTTGGCTCCAGAGGGATCATTTTGGATGTGTGGGCTGTCAAACGAGGCTTTCTCAAGAAATAGCTGTGTTGCTTTTGCCAGCTGAAAGCGCTCTTGTAGGTGTCAGGATGAGGTCTGTAGGCTGTGAATCCCTCAAGAGTGTGCACTGGGACCTCAGAGGGTCCCTGTGGTGTACCTGAGACTTTGGAAGTCTCTGAGCCAGGTCCAGCCAGGGCCCTTGGGGCAGGACATGGGGTGCCACCAGCCCCTCGTGGGACAGGGTGCTTCCTGGGTGCCCAGCCCAGCTGTTTCCATGAGAGGGTGCTGTGGGACTTGGAGATCTGTGTGGCTGCAGTGGCACTGCTCCCTTCTCTGGTGTTGCCATGCACAGAGACACCCCTATGTCCAGGCTTTGCCTGAGCCCTCACACTGGACATGGCCACCAGGAGCTGTCACCTTGGTGGGTTGTAGCTGCTCATAGTTTTGTGCTGTAGAGCTCTGTGAGCATAGATCTCCACTGCCTAACACACCCCACAGGGATCTGTAACCCACTTTGCCTTTACAAAGCAGCCCTGTGACCAGCAGGACCGTGGCTTGTCTGGAATGGGGATGCTTTTACACCTGGCTCTGACTGTGGGAGGTGAAAGAGGTGGCTGTGTCCCATCTCTAGGGATCACCACCAGACTGACCATGTGGAGCAGAACAGCCAAGTCCTGGCCATGACACGTTGGGGACACCTCAAAGGACAGCCAGGAGCTCCTTGCCACAGGCAGGACAAACCAGTGTGCTGTGACCATATTGTCTCATCTCTCCTTCCAGGGAACACTGAATGGAGCCCCTTTTCCCAAGCTGTTCCTTGGGCACATCAGACTCTTTCTTGTTCTCTGCCTTTCCTGGCTCAGAAAAATTAATTCTAGTGAAGGAGGAGGAAGAGAAAAGTAACAAAATGGGCTTTGGCCAGGGGTGGTAATAGCAAGCCCTCTCCTGGCTCTGGTGTTGATGCAGTGGCTGAACTGGTAGTTCAGGGCTCTTGGTAGGGTTTCCATCAGATGGGACAGGTAGGGCCAGGCTCTGTCCCTGCTGCTGTGGGACAGATGGCTGCAGGGATCACCTCTCCACACTGAGATGCCATCAGGGTTTGGAGAGGTGTTTGCTCTGGCCACTGGTGTGTGCCTGCAGCAGGGCTGTCCCCTGCAGCATGAGCAGGGGCTCGCTGGCTGGTCCAGTGACCTGGCTCAGTGTGGTGACAGCTCAGCGTGATCCCTTGAAGCATCAGTAGCACGGGGGCCTGGCAGCCTGGTGGTGGTACTGTTGCTTCTGCTGCTGCTGCTGCTGTAGGGTGCCTGGACAGGCACCTTCAGTCCCTTTGGTTTTGTCTCCTGTCTCTAGGTGAAGATAATGACCGAGATGGAGCTCCTGGGTGTGGTCTGTGAGCAGTTCTTGGGGAAGAACGTGCAGGATGTGAAGAACGGGTCCTTCAGACGCTGGAGGGACACCTGCACTCCATCCTAGGTGCAGAGGCGCTCGTCCCCTGAAGGCATCTCGAGTGGCTTTGTCTCTCCTCAGCTGGCTGGTCCCAGTGGTATCGCTGCCACTGCAGCTGCCACACAGGACCTGCCTCCACTGACTGCAGAGGTGGCATCTCCCCTCCAGCAGCTCCTGCTGCGCGCTGTGATAAATGACTTTTCAGTGCCTGCAGTGAGAGATGTCTGAGTCCCTCATGGGTTACAGGTAGCGTGTGTGGGGGTGGTGGTTGCTCTTGTGAGACTGAGATGTTGGTGCCACTGCAGGGGCAGAGGATTACAGCCTTGTGCCCAGGCCTCAAGAGATAAGGGACAACAAGGATGTTTCTGAGCTTAGACCCGCGTTGTTGTGCGTTACCTGTTCCAAATAAAGTGCTTCACCTTCCTTCCCCCTGCAGGGGCCCTGACTGTGGAGCAGATCTACCAGGACAGGGACCAGATTGCCAAGCTGGTGCGGGAGGTGGCAGCCCCTGACGTAGGGCACGTGGGGATCGAGATCCTGAGTTTCACCATCAAGGTACAGTCAGACATCGAGTGCTGCACTATGGGCAGAGCTGTAGGAGCAGCAGGGCAGAGCCTGGCTCCGGCTCCTCTGCCACAACCGGCTGGAAGGCTCCGGCTGACAGCCTGCCCCAGCCCTCCGGGAGTTTCCATGACAGCCGCCGCAGCATGTCCTGTATCCAGGCAGCTGGGCCAAGAGCACCGGGTTAGCTGCCTCTGTAAACAGGCTCGTGGAGGGAGCTGGCTGATAACCCAGCCTCCAGGGAGTCGAGGGAAGATGTTGGGAGAGCCCGCCTCTCCCTGCCCTCCCTGTTTGTTTGGAGCAGCCGACGTGGCGCGTTCTGACCTCGGCCTGACCGCACGAGTGGCTGCCCAGAGCTCCAGCAGGGAGGGAGCAAGATGGAGTCTCTCATTGGAAATGGTTGTGACTTATCTCCCCTCCCCAGGATGTCTGTGATAAAGTGGATTACCTGAGCAACCTGGGGAAGACTCAAGATTGCAACTGTCCAGAGGGATGCAGACATTGGAGTGGCAGAGGCCGAGCGGGATGCTGGCATTCGGGTGAGTCCAGAGATGTGCCAGCCTTCCCCAGAGCAGCCTGTTTAGCCCCAAGTGCACACCCTGAAGCTCTGCTTTCTTTTCCCTCTCCGCAGGAGGCAGAGTGCAAGAAAGAAATGCTGGATGTCAAGTTCATGGCAGACACCAAAATAGCAGATTCCAAACGGGCTTTTGAATTGCAGAAAGCTGCTTTCACTGAGGAGGCCAACATTAAGGTGAGAGTGTCCCACAGCCCACTGCTGTTCCCTGGAAGGTTTGTGATGGGGTTGGTGGCTCTGGGGCTTGTCAGCTTCTTCCTCCTGCATCTGTTAGGAGAGTTGGAAGTGGAGAACCCGGGACTGTGTGTCACTATTTGGGCTCTTGCAGCAGATTCCTCTCCTGTTTGCAGAAATTTGGTGGAACTAGGAGGACAGGGTGGGGAGGGTCATCCAGGCTGAACCTGGAGCTGGTTGGGCTCAAGTGGTGTGAGAAAAGGGCACAGAGAAGGACAGCACTGAGAACTGAGATGTCATCCCTGCGAAGAGGTTCAGTAACAGGAGCTGTGTCTGGTTTTAGGTCCTGCCGAGGGTCTTTATGTCTGTGCACAGGAGCTCGTGGCCCAGACCCCTCTTCTCTCCCCGCTGTGCAGACTGCGGAGGCCCAGCTGGCCTATGAGCTGCAGAGCACCCAGAAGATCCATCAGGAGGAAATCAAAACGGAGGTGGTGCAGCACAAGGAGCAGATCGATGTGGAGGAGAAGGAGGTGATCCAGATGGAGAAGGAGCTGATGGCCACTGAGGCAGCCGGCCGAGGCCGAGGCCTATCGCATCCAGCAGATCGCTGAGGGAGAGAAGTGAGTGAGCCCGTGACCTGGGCTGGGAGTACGGTGCTACCCCAGCTCACGGGCTCTCTGCAGAGATCTGGGCTGCTACAGCGCTGAATTTCCCTTTCCAGGGTGAAGCAAATCCTCCTTGCTCAGGTGGAGGCAGAAAAGATCCGCAAGATCAGAGAAGCGGAGGCTTTTGTGATCGAGGCCATCAGGATGGCGGAGGCTGAGGGGCTGAAGCTGAAAGCAGAAGTGCTCCAGCAGTATGGAGAGGCTGCCAGGCTGGCTCTAGTGCTGGATGCACTGCCTGAGTGGGCAGAGGTGGGTGGAGGACCAGCAGGACACTGAGTGGGGACAGGCTCCTCCTGTACAGCTGCCTGGGGACCAGTGGCCCTGTGGCTGGTTGCTGGCCAGGGGCTGCCTCAGCAGGCAGTGCAGGAACCCCTACCTCACTCCCTCCCCCTGCCTCTCATGGCCATGGCTTTGCTGCCTTGTGACAATGTGAAAGGGGTTGTCCCCTCTGTGTGTCCATCCTCCCTGCAGTGCCACCAGGGCCCAGCGCTGGGCCATGTCCCTTCCCCACCTGCCTCGATGCCTGTGCTCGGTGTGGCTGTTACAGCCAGACCCGTGTGTGAGGTCAGCCTGCACTGTGGTGGGGTTTTGGGGGTCCCTCCACAGACTCCTGCATCCCCAGCTTGGTGCTGGGGGTGGGTCCCTCCCGCTGTCCCAGCAGTGCCCCAGGGAGTGACCCACTGCAGGGGGGTGGGTGCTGCGGGCCCCCATCCCCTCCCCGTTGCCAGGGCGTTATCAGCCCCCGGTTGGTGCCGGCCCGCGGGCGGCGGGCGCAGATCTGGCGCTGTCCAGCAGGCGTGCCGGGCCGGGCCCCTGTATCTGCGTGTGCCCGCGCCCGCCGCCCGCTGCTGTGAGATAATAAACCCGTGTCACCTCCCGCCTGGGCTCTGTCTCGTGCCTCGCGCCCGCCTCTCCTGCCCCCAGGACCCCCAGGATTGGGCTGGCCGGGGGCTGCTGGTGTTCCCGGGCAGGTGTTCCCGCTGGGATGGGGGAGCAGTGGGTGTGCGGAGGTGAGGTCCCTGCTCACGCTGCTCCTGCAAACCCAGGGAACTGGTGACCTCCCCACGGTCACTGTGTCCCCGTGGGCTCCTTGCCCCGGACCTCCGTGGGAGTAGAGCCTTGTCCTGCTCCTGCAGGGGCACCCCAAAAGATTGGCACCCAAGGGTTTGGGGCAGGGCTGACATGGACAGAAGGCTCTGTCTGTCACAGCAGCCAGGCTGGTGGCAGCAGCTCATGTCCCCCTGTCCTGCCACAGGAACCTTCTTCCAGCCCCAAACACCCTTCCCTGTGCTGGGGGCCAGCTGGGTAGCTCTGAGGGTACCTGTCCTGCTTGGGGTCACCCTGTGAGCAGGAGCAGTGACAGCCAGCATGGGGACGCCGTGGGGGACTTTGCTGCAGTGATCTCCCAGGGGTAAAGATGGTTTCTCATGCCTTCCAGACCCTCCATGCCCCCCCCCCAGACACAAGGCAGGACTACAGGCCCTGTCCTGTGTGTCCTGCAGGGTGGCCCTGCAGATAGGCTGGGTGGGGACAGCTTGGCAGCCCCCAGCACATTGTTATCTGGAGCCAGACACACTGCCCTGGGCCAGCATGGCTGGTGGGAGGGCTGTGGCACACGGGGGTCTCCTGTGGCACCATCTCCTCACCATCTCTGTAGTACGAGCCTGGGGGGACACTTGGGCCCCCTCTGTCCCAAAGGGCACAAGGCCACAGGGCAGGGCTGCCCTTGAGTGCTCTGTGTGTTCAGAGTGGGCAGTGGGGCTGGCGTGCAGTGGTTGGGATGGGGACAATCCCATGGGGCTCACCTGGAGCTGGCAGGGCTGGAGGGACTCAAGGACACTTTGCCTGTGTTGCTGCTCTATGTGCTGGGGTGCCTGTGCCACACTTAGGGGAGCACTATGGGCTCCAGGACACCTCTGGGTCACTGCAGGGACCAAAACCAGGAGGGGATGGTCCCTTGCAGCCCCCACGTCCCCCACATCCTCATGTCTGGTGCCAGGGTGACACCAGGGCTTGACCTTGTGCCACCTCCTGCCAGGGTCTGGCCAGGCTGGGGGGAATGTGGGTGATGCTTGCCCCTGTTCCCGTCACCCAGAGGTGACAGCAGGTCTGGGGGCACCTTGTGTGGCAGGGCAGGGTCCCCGATAGCTGGACGCTGCTGCTTATCGGGACCCCCACGCAGACAGTCCCAGCGGGGGGTTATCACCTCCCCACAGCCGACTTCCAGGAATGCCGGCGTGTCCTGGCACAAACAACCCGGCACAGCGGCACGGCACCTGCTGCAGGATGTGACCCTGTGGGGACAGACAGGGCTGGGGGACACAAGTGACCAGGGTCATGCACAGGCAGGTGACGCTTATGGTCGAGGGTGCAGCCACTTGGGGACACGTGGCCAGGGGACAAGTATGATCGGGGTCATTCATAATGAGGGGACTCAGCCCTCTTGGGGACACATGTGGCATGGGGGGCATGTCCTTGGGGACACAGCTCGGGGATACCTCTCTGCAGGGGACACATCCCCCTGGGAGGAGGGTGCACTCACACAGGGGACATGATCTCCCAAGAAACTTGTTCCTGCAGGCTGGGGAGCGCATCTTTTTTTTAGGGGGACACACTGCATGGGGACATGTCCCTCAGGGGAGCATAAATGGCCAGGGGACATAGCACTTTGGAGGTCACCTACCCCAGGGGGACACAGGCTCCTCACCTGGGAGTGCCCTGAACCCACATGTCCCACCACCACCATCCCAGGCCCCATCCCCATGGACTGCCGCCCTGCCCTGTCCAACACCACTGTCCAGCAACTGGGAGCCAGTTTGCAATGGGGAGCTCCCCATTTGGGGTCCCCACAGCTGTGGGAAGGGATAATCCTGATGACCACAGGGGTCAAAGACAGGAGGGTGGGGGATTTGTGGGGGCCACCCCCACGTGCTGAATGCACAGGGGGTAACCCCCCACAAGCCCCCCATTCCCAACCCGCCCGTGGGCAATGCCAGGCTGGCAGGAGCTGCTTGGGGCTGTGCCCCCCTGGGCAGGAAGGGGTTAAGGGCCCTGTCCAGCTGTGCAGTGCAGATGTGAGATATGCAGATGAGGCAGAGCAGGTTTTATAAGGCGGGTGCAGACCCAGCACCCCACAAAGCCCCAGTGCCACCCCTATAGGTAGGTGCCACCACCTGGGGAGCTGCTCTCCTGCTCTGGAGTGACAGGAGTTGGGATACCACAGGAGGAGTTAGGGGAAGCAATCTGGAGCCTTCATCCCGTTCTGGAGCAGTGGGACTGGAGGGCAGAGGTGGGATAGGGGATTGTTGGGGTCAGGAGGCTGTTGGGAGCCCCTACTCTTCTCCAGGGTGGTGGGAACGGGGGGATAAGGAGGGTGTAGGGGGTATTGGGAGGGATAAAGAGGGAGCAGTGGGGTGCTGGAGTGGGGAGGCCTTTGGGAGCCTCTGTCCTGCTGTGGTGCGGCAGGACCAGCGTGACGGGGATGGGGCGAGCGGGACAGCGGGGTGGCGAATGGGGCGATCCTGGTGCTGTGCTCCCTAACCACGCTCTCCCCGCGCAGGCTCCGCTCCCTGCTCCCTTCGCCGCCGCCGCCGCTCCGAGCAGGATATCATCGTATACTGTAAGTTGGCTATGAGACACTACAGTATAGATGATGTACTCCCCGGGCTGCACCGACCACCCGCCCGCCAGGACACGGCGTGGGACCGCCACACCGGGGGCACCGGGGGCGGGGGGAGGCGGGGCTGGGATGCGGGACGCGGCGCCGGGAGGCGTGCGGGGCTCCCCATCGCGGGATGGGGCACCGCGAGGTGTGGGGAAGCTCCGGGCACCTCCAGGAATCGGCGGCCGGCGGGGAAACCGTTACCATTACTGAGTTTAGTAATGGTAACGGTTCTGCCGACGGCCGGCACGGCGTGGAACGGAGCGGCACGGCGCGGACACGGACACGGAGCGCTGGGATCGGGCGCGGGACAATAAAAGGGGGTTACAGCAACCGTGGCTCTGTCTCAGCTTCTTCACCACGTCCCCCGGCCGCTCCAGGCCCGGTGGAACTGGGTCACTGGGGTGCACTGGGGAGCTCGTGGGTGCCCTGGGTCGCAGGGTGGGACAGGGAATTTTGGGTGCATTTGGGTGTAATGGGGGCACGGGGGGACCTTGGGGTGCGATGTGAGCAGGGCACTGGGGTGCAGGGCACACCGGAGTGCATCGTGGTGTGTTGCACGGAGCACTGGGGAGAACTGGGAGGCACTGGGGGGTGTTGGGACTGGGGAGACCTGGAGAGCTGTTGGGGTGTAAGGGGAGCACTGTGAAGCCCGGGGTTGCGTTTAAGGGGGGAACTGGGAGCACTGGAACTCATTAGGGAGCACAGAGGAGTACTCAGATACATGGCGGGGGAGGGTGGGGGGCACTGGACATCCTGGGGTGCACTGGGATGGACTGGGGAGGGTTGTAGGGAGAACTGGGACGCACTGGGGTGTGTTGTAGAGGGCACTGGGGCTCACTGGGCTGTGTGGTGGGGATGCTGGGAGCACTGGGGGGCACGGGGAGCACGGGGGGCACTGGAGGCATTGGGAGCACTGGTAGCACCGGTAGCACCGGGAGCATTAACGTCACTGGGGACACTGGGAGCACTGGGGGGGACACTGGGAGCAGTGCTCGGTGGGGCCGGCAGGGGGCGCTTCCCGCTCTCGCCACCCCGCTTCGTTCCCACAACCCCCGCGGCAGAGCGGCGCGCTGGCCCCCCCTCCCCTCGTCTCTATGCTCCCGCTCTGCGCGCCAATGGGGGTGGGCTCTGCCGGGGCTCCCGGCGTGCCCCGCGGCGGGGCAAGATGGCGGCTCCCATGGCTGCTCCCGTGGCCGCGGCCGCCGCCCGGGCCCTGCGCTGGGGCTGCGGGGCCGCCGCGACCGCACCGCTCCGGCCGCGAACAGGTGCGGCGGGGCCGCGGGAGTGCTCCGCGGGGCGGCCGGGGGCGTGAGGCGGCGGGCAGGAGCGGGGCGGCCGCTCCGGGGCTGGCCCAGTGGAGGCTGCGGGGGAGCAGCGCTGCTCGGGCGCTGCCGCGCGGGGAGGAAGGGACAGCGCGATTTTGGGGGGTTTCGGTAAGTTTTCGGTACATGCGGAGTTTGCTGGTGGTGTCCTTGCAGGCTGCCTCCCGGGGAGCCGCTGGAGCGGGAACTGGGCGCTGGGAGCGGGAGCGGCGCTGGGCAGGATCCTGAGCGTCCCGGCCCGCTGGAGCGGGAACAGCTCGGCGCTGGGCAGTCTCCTGGGCATCCCCGCCGAGGCACCGCCCGCCCCCCTGGGCCAGCACCCGCCGCCCGTGGCCACCAGCAAAGGTGAGGTGGTGCCAGTGCTGCCCCTCCGGGACAATCCCGACCCGCCCAGGGGGTTTGGCAGCGCTCGAGCCCCTCCTTTCCTCGGCAGAGGAGCAGAAGCGGCTGTTGCAGCACCGGCCCGACCAGCCCCAGAACCCCAAGGTGCTGAGGATCGCCATCATCGGCGCCCCTAACGCCGGGAAATCCACGCTCTCCAACCAGCTCCTGGGCAGGAAGGTGAGGCTGGGCTGGAGCAGCAAGTTCAGGCTCATAAATTGCTGTTTTGTTTGGGTTTTTTTGTTCGTTTATTTGTTTGGTTGGTTTTTTTTCGTATTCTGGCTGTGCAACGTGTTTAATTTCCTGCAGGTTTTCCCAGTCTCCAAGAAGGTTCACACAACCCGGTGCAAAGCCAGGGGGGTCATCACACACGAGGACACTCAGCTGGTGAGCTCCCAGAGCTGCTCCTGCCTGGGGCGCTGGGCAGTGTGAGCCAGAAAGTGCAGGGTCTCTGTCCTGTAGGATCGCTCCTCATTGCACAAATACAAGTTTCACCCTGAGCTCTAACCACAGGCAAACTTATAGGATCTGTCTTTCCTCTTTCTAGATCATTCTGGACACACCTGGCCTTACTAATCCATTAAAAGTCAAAAGGTATCACCACTGGGGTGGGGAGGGGGAGGCTCCTTGCCTATCAAGGGTTGATAAAGCCAGAGTGTGATTTTTCACTGTGCAATGTTTGTAAAATAGGAGTGACAGAAATGTGTATTTTCAGCCTTATTTTGCCTCATTTATTGTTGCAGTTTCAGTAGCACACAGAGCCTGTGACATCCGTGTTGTGTTTGGTTCTGCATATGTGACGAGGGATGTCACAGCCCCTAGAACAGCTTTGTGGCATCTGGGATGAGGGAAAACTCTGGGTTTTTTCCCCCACTTTGAGGGGAAAGAACACAACTGTAACTAAGTGTGTCTGGTTGATTCATTTGCACGTATCTTTCAGACATAATTTAGAGAAAGCCATGCTGACAGACCCGTGGGACAGCATGAAACATGCGGATTTAGGTGGGTCATCAGCTCCTCTTGGAACAAACCAAACCTTTTTCTGCCACGCAGATTTACAGCTCTGGTGTCTGGGTGTTTGCTGGGCAGCCCTGGGAGTGTGAGCCAGGAGGGAAGGGCAGAGAAAAGATTTGGAATGTCGAGCTGAGGAGTGGATACGGACTGCCTGGTGCCAAGGGGAGGGCAGCTTGGGTTAATAACTGGGCTTGGATGTTAAGTTTTAGCATGTGTGATGTCGTTTTGATGGCAGGTGTAAACTGCACTTTAGTGTTTTATCCATTGAAACTCTCCTTTTTGTGCTCTCCTGTGGAAGAGAGAGAAGGAGCAGGAGGAGGGGGGATGGCCACAGACTCTAAAGCTGCAAGTGAACATTCTGGAAAAGGCAGGTTCATCCTATTTCCCTCCCTCTCTCCTGGCAGTTCTGGTTTTGGTGGATGTGTCGGATCACTGGACAAGGAACGCTCTGAGCAAGGAGGTGCTGAAGTGTCTGTCACAGTTTCCCCACATCCCCAGTGTCCTGGTCCTGAACAAGGTAAATCCTGCTCCTTCTTCCTGCCTTCTTCAGATACCACCTGACAACAGCAGCCCTGGTTTTTTGGGTCCCTGGAGTGTTAAAGGACACTGGTTTACCCCTCTGCTCCAGCACATTGCAGTGTGTGTGTATGCACATGTGGCATGCACTGGTGCTGTGCTGCAGCCTGTGGGGTTTAAATCCACTTGGAAAGAGGAGCTGGAGTGGGGTTGGCCAGAGAGAATCTCAGCAGAGCTGACAGGTTCTCAGTGTTTGGCCAGAGTGTGCTGGCACTGGTGACACACTCCTGGTCACCAAACTGTCCTGTGCTATTTCAGGAGCCTTGTCCTGCAGCAGCTGCTTCCCTGAGTGGCTTATTCTGGCTCCTTTAGATCCGGGGCCCAGCTGCTCACCTCATTTAGGACAAATCCTGACACCTCTCTGTGACTTTAGGTGGACATCCTGAAGAAGAAGTATCTCCTGCTGGACATAGTAACTGACCTAACAGAGGGAATTGTAAATGGAAAGAAACTGGAAGTGAAATCTGCGTTTAAAAGTGATTCCAGTTCTTCAGCCAAGCCTCCTCTTCAAATCACTCAGGCTTCTCCTGCTGGGAGCAGGGCCCCAGGGTCTCCCTGTCGTCAGGGAATGGATCAGGCCCAGGAAGGCTCTGGTTTGGACAACAGCAGGGGTGTGAGGGATGCCAAATCCAGCCCTGTCACAGAGGAAGCCCAAGGGCCAAAGCAGTATGGACACAAGGATCTTAAAGATATGAAAGGCTGGCCAAACTTCCAGGAGATCTTCATGCTGGCAGCTCGCCGTGGGGAGGAGGTGGATACCCTCAAGGTAACTCTGAGCTTGTGTCACACCTTGAGACTGGTGTGGGACCCCAGCACTTCACGCTGAGCTCAAGCTCCTGTGAGGAAGTAGCAGAGCTGCTGCTTCTGGCCTGGGATGGGGGCAAGGTGTTGTGTGCCAACGTGGGGATGTGTCTGTATTGCATTTCCAGAGTTTTCTGTGCAAAACTCTTATTTGGGGCTCTCCAAAAAGGAGCCTGCTCAGAACAATGACCACCCACCATCCATTCTTTCAGCTCCAGAGGTGCTGTAACTCACAGATGACTTTTGTAACTCACACAGACGACTCTAGGGAGGGGTGACCCTTTGGCAGGGCAGGAGTTTCAGAGCTTCCCTTTGTCCTTTCCCTGCCAAAAATGCCAAACTGCTGCCCTGGTGCCAGGCCAGCAGGAGTGCCCTCGCTGCAGAACGAGCACAGGGGTGTTGGCACCGTGCAGGTGGTACCTGTCAGCTGATGGGGGTGTGTGTTGTACCCACAGCAATACCTCCTGATGCAAGCCAAGCCAGGCCCCTGGGAGTTCCACAGCGACGTCCTGACCAGCCAGTCACCTCAGGAGGTCTGTGACAACATCATCAGGGAGAAGGTCCTGGAGTACCTGCCCTTGGAGGTGCCCTATGGCGTGACTCAGGTGGGAAGTTGAGCACAGGTAGATCTGCCCATGAGGTGTTTAATTGGAAACATTGGACTGTGTGATGAGAATCCCTTCATTTGGATCTGTGGAATCTGGGATGACTCAGTACTTGCACTTCAGGTGCTGTGAGGCTCTCTGCATGCTTGAAGGGGCCATCCTTGCGTGCTGGGGTCTCCAAGGATCTTTGTGGTTCCTGAGGGTTTTCCAGGATTGCTGAGTGCACTCTTGCTGTTGCAGGTGACAGAGATGTGGGAGGAAGGAGAGTGTGGGGAGCTCCTCATCGTGCAGAACCTCTTGGTCCCAAGGAAGTCTCATATGGTGAGTGATGGAAGAGACTTGGGGCGCTGGGGAGGGTGAAGGGAGGTTCCCTTATCCCAAGTACATGTACATCCTTGGTGTGATCCCCTCTCCCCCTCCTCTGGGAAGAGCCACATGCCTGACACAGGCTGTTCAACAGCAGCTTACACCTCCCTGGAGTAGCCCATGGTTTGATCTTGGAATTTCCCTCGCTGCTACATCCCTTCCGTTGCTTCTGTGGCCACCCTGTCCTCCTGGGGCAATTCCTCCCTGCAGCTGGGCAACGTAAGGACGGGCCTGATGGTGTCCTCTCTGGGTTTTAATGCAGAGGATGTTGATTGGAAAAGGAGGTGAAGTCATCAGCAAGATTGCTCAGGAGGCTGGGCAGGACCTGATGAACGCTTTCCTGTGCGACGTCCGCTTGAAGCTCAGGGTGGAGGTGAAGAGTTGAGTGTTTTGAGAGCCGCTGAACTCTCTGATCATGTGGAGAAACAGATCCCTGTGTTCCCCTGTGGGTATCTTGTCCAGAAACAGAGGATGATGGAATTAATACAGTGGGCTGAAGTGGAATATGTAGTTCTTCGAGAGAATGGCCCAAACTGAAAATAAATCTTCAGACCCTCTACTGCACCTGGCCTTGTGGAAGCTGGGATGGACATCAGAGAACCAGCTGCACTCATGGTTCTAGTACTGCATTTACAGAGCTGCCATCCACTTCTTTTGGGCTGTGTCTTGCATTCTTGGTCACAGGTTTTTATACCTGGAAGTTCAGGACCATCTCCTGTCTTTTAGCAGACACAGGGTTGCAGTGAAGGATGATTAGCACACCTTTGTCTTCCCTTCTCAAGGCTGAACCACTCCAGTGTGATCACACAGGAGGAACAGGCTACCCCAGCCCACACTATGGTTTTACATTGGCTTTGCTCCCTGCCCTGTTGAAGTTCATGGGTGTAGGGGGTCAGTTTAAAGAATTTACTGGCAGCTGAAACATCTGTAATGCCTGAAGGGCTTGTCTGTCATGCAAAACCAGCGTGGACCCCCTTTTTAGGAATTTGAATACTTCAATTTGAATACTTCCCCAGAGTTACTTCAAAGCCCTTTTTCTTGCACCAGGGCTGCAGATACAAACATAGAAGCTGTTGCAGCTAAAGAAAAGCCCAAAGTGGGAACAGCAGCAGGTTCTGCAGCCTGGGGGGTAACAGGGTTTGGGGATGGAGAGTAGCTGGCATAGGTGAGGCTGGAGGAGCAGGGCTGGGCTGGTGAGAGAGATGCTGTTACCATTCTGAGCTGCTGAAGGATTCTGGAATGTGAGATCATCTGAAAACCAGGTTGGAAAGCCTCCACAGAGTGTCCCTCCTTGTTTCCTGAGATGTAGGGGCTGCTGTGGTCCCTCGAATGCTGCTCTCCAACTTTTGTATTTTCCTTGGAATAAAATGAGGTCCCAGCACAAGTCATTGTTCTCTCCTTTCTTCCTCCCTGGCAGCCAGGCCTCACAGCCATCACCTTCCCTCTATTTTATTCCAACTCAAAGCTTTTATGTCATTGCTCATTCCCCGCTGAGCTTAGATCCTATTTCCTGAGCTGTGGCATCTGAAAGTTATGCCCTGTGGGGGAAGAAAGCTGGGTAAGTGCGGTTGCAGGTGTCTCAAGGGCTGGGGTACAGGAGCAAGGCTGTCCCCTCTGTGTGGCCGCGTCGTGGCAGCCTCAAGGTTGCACTGTGCTGCCTCCGAGCTTCATACCAGGCTCCTTCCAGGCAGGAGAAGGGATGGATCTGAGGACCCAGACCAACAGCCAGTCCTGGAGGCGATGGAAATGTGCCCGGCGTGGGAAGGGGTGAAGTTTTTGTGCCTTCCTGACTTGCAGCTCCTTAACGAGCTTTGATTGCCAGGTTAATTATCCCGTTGCAAGGCAATAGCTCTGTCCGCCAGGGGGCGCCGCGGCGCTGCCCCCTCTCCCCCCATGCCCGCCGTGCCCGTGGCCGCGCGTGCGCGGGGCGGGGCGGGCGGGCGCGCGGGCCGCGCGTGCGCGGGGGCGGCTGCGCAGCCAGCAGGGCCGGGGCGGGCGGCGGCGGCGGCGGCGGCGGGGCCGGGCGGGCACAGCGGCGGCGGCGCCATGAGGCCCGGGCAGGGGCTCCGAGAGTAAGTGCGGCCACCGGCGGGAGGGCGCCGGGCACGCCGGCACCCCTCCTGCTTCTCCTCCTCCTCCTCCGCCGCCGCCTCTCCTCGCAGCGCGGCGGGACCGGCGCGGCGCCCCCTTCCTCCCCTCATCAATCCCCCTCCGCCCCGCTCGCCATTGTCCTTCCCGGGTGTCCCCGCCCGCTGAGGGATCACCGGTGTCGCGACCCGCCTCCGTGTCGCGACCCGCCCCTCCCCCGTCGCGACATCCGCCTCCCGGGGTGTCCCCTCCTCAGCGCCCCGGCAGCCCCTGAATACCTGCCCCTGGGTGCCACACGCGGGCCCGGATCGCGATAGTGCGCCAGCCATCGCGATAGAAGTGCCGTCAGGGGAGAGGGGGGATTGCGGTCGCAGTGCGAGCACATCCTTTGTGTGATTCTTTCCCCAAGAAAAGTGTCCTTTTGCGAGAGAATCGCGGGCTGGTCTGGATTCGAGGGGACCTTAAAGACCATCTCCCGTCCCAGCCCCCGCGCCATGGGCAGGGCACAGGTATCGTCAATAAATCATCCGTCGTTTTTATTCCCTACCAACCGATTTTCAAGCGTCTTAAGAAGAAGAAGAAGAAGAAGGAGAAAACTGCAGAGCTGGACTCCTCTGTTCTCAGTCCACTCGTGCAGCAAAGTGTTGAAATGGTTTTGGTTCTGCAGTGTGTGAACCTCCCCGAGCAGCACCTGCGAGGGCTCACGAACGCCTCACCCTCCCTTGGTATCACCTCTCATCACTCGGTACAAGTTTAGGGTAAATCACAGGTGCAGGTTAATTAGTTCAGCCGTAATTTGTTCTGCTCACTTCTTACCACGGTCCTTAATTTTCTCTCTAACCACAGTCTCAGGAAAACGTAAGTTCCTTGGGAAAACTTTTTGCAGCAATACTTTTTTTCCCCTTTGCTGCACGAACCCTGTTCTTTGTTGCCCGGGTCGCGGCGGGAGAGGAGGGAGCCGGGAGCTCTCAGGAGGATGAGGTTGGGTTCCTGAGTGATGTCATTTGTGCTGGAGCAACGGTGGTGACTTTGTGATGGAGTAAATCCTCCTGGACGTGTCAGGGCTTCCTGACTCTGTGTGTGTGTGTGCTGTGGAAACTTAGTCTGATTCAGCAGCCGACTGAGAAAATCCTGTGCTCGGTGCTACACAGGCAGTGAGGGAACAGAGTGATGATAGTGGCATTTTCCTTTCAGTGTGTGTATTTCTGGTCAGGGCTTTTTTTCAGCCTAAGAATTTGAACTTGCTGGAGTCTGTTAATTTAAGTAGGTACGTAAAACAGCGGGGAAAGATGCTGTTGAAGGGTCTTAGAGATATTAGAGGTGGAGAGAGCAGGGAGTGAAGGATGCAGGGAGAGTGTTCAGGTGCTTCTGGTGTCCTGTAAAGCCATTCCAGAGGGTCTGGAAACTCAGGGCGGGGGGGAAAGCAGTGATAACAGAAAGGAAACTTGAAAGCAGATGAACTCACTATTAATTTTTAGCAGAGGAAGGTTTGGATCAAAAGCAAGAGAGCAAACAGCGGTCAAGATCTGAAATTAACACAGGATCTAAGCTTCCATGGAAAAATGCTGGCATAAAACAGGAGGTGTATGTTTCCTAAATGATATTTACTCTGGTTAGACTTTCTGAGGTGAAGAAATCAGAACTGACCCTTGTCTGGGGAGCTGGAGGATCAGTTGATGAATTGGCTGTAATTTACAGGCATCGCTTCAAGTATTTTCAATATTTCTCAACTATTTTAAGAAGCTGTATTGAGTTCCAGCCCAAGCAGCCTGATAGTCTGGAGAGAGGAAGGATGCGTATTGCTGGAGCAAGAATTAAGCAAAAATAGATAAATCTGACATAATGGATGACAAGGGAAAGCTGATTGCTGAAAGATGCTGGCATGCTCTGTTCCTGCATGCTTGGCGTGTATTCTGTTGTGTTACATGGCTTTTGAAGTGTAAAAAAAAAAAAAAGAAAGAAATCTCATTTTGTGCTGAGATAAAAGAAAAGGCAGGTGCTTAAATTCTGCTGGGGATCAGCTTTGATACTGACATGAAGTGGTGACCTCGCTTGTGTTTACTCCTCTGTCACTTTGTGAACTTCTCAATTGAATAAATAATTCACTTAGCACCAAATAAATGCCATTTAATAAGATGGTATTTTTGATCCCCTTTTCACTCCACATTGCAAACAATTTCACACGTTTTCTGCTTGAGCACAGCCTGGGGTGCTATTTCTGTTAATAACATTAAAAATATGTTGGAGGATGTCCACGTAGTATTGGTTTTCTCTCCAAATGCAAAATTAAGGAACCCTTGTGTTCTCTGCAGCTTGGATATTTGCCTTCCTTTAAGTCTTATTTGTATTTGTTTCAAGTTGTCCTCTGATAGATGAGCTGTTATATCTGTGTTTGCTTCTGGGAGCTGTTACCAGATCAAGAGGAGAAGGAAGGATTTTTGTCAAGGACTGAAGTATCTGTATATCCCAGAAGCTCAGACTGCTGTGTGACGTGCAGGAGCCTCAGCTTGTGTCCTCTCCTGCACCTGCTGAAATGCCTGGGTGTGGGACAGAAACTTTAATAGCTGTTTCCAGTGCAACATTTTACTTTTCTGCCTTGGCTTGTCCATTCATCTCTATTCTTCTTTGTTTTTGACCTTGACATGTTACTTGCCAGCACATGGAAATGGGAGGGAAGGGAGTAGAGGTGTTGCTCTGGCTGCCCCCACCCCAAAACCTTCATCACCAAAATATTTTATATCCTATATGTTGCTACCTCTTCAGTGGGGTGACAGTGAGGGGAGTCACTGATCTGTGAAGCGTGAGATGCAGTCACGTCCATTCTGTATCTCTAAAGCTTGGTAACTTCCAGGATTCTGGGATTTATGGGATTGCTGAATACACCACTGAGCACGTAGCCACAGCCTGACTTGTTTGAGTTATTTAACAGATGATCAGCACTTTTAAATAATTGCTTTAAGAACATGTAGTTCAGTGAAATGCTACACCCAGCAGGTGAGTAACAGGTCACTCCACTGTGCTGTACACAGTAACCAGGACCTGCTGAGGCTGTTTTTGGGGTAAGATACCCCTGAGGATGAGTAAAGGTTTCAGAGTTTTCTCCATCTGTAATGGGTGTATCCCCTCACTGTTTCCAATTTTCGGTATTTTAAGGACTTTCAAACTGGGGAGTGAAGTGAATAATTGAGATTTTTATTCCTTGTGTGGTATGCCACATTCTCATTTTCCCATTGTATTTTGTGACTCCTGTTGAAATCTTCACCATAACCATCCTGGAGCATTTTTTTTTCTTTTAATTGCAGATCGTTAGTTTGAATGCTAAAGTGGGTTTGTCACACTAGTCATCATTTTTCTTTCTAAAAAAAATTGCTTTCCAAGTGGTGACAGAGCTCCTGAACAGGCTTTCTGCTGACTGACGTCCAGAAAAGTTGTTTTGAACTTTACCCAAAGGTATTTTTCCAAGGGGTTGTATTCCTTCAAAAGCTGATCTTACTATCCAAACTAGGCATACCTTGGCCTCAGTTTGCCTACACCTGGAGCTGACAGAGACTGCTGTGTTCATCAGCTGCTGGTTTCTATAGTTTTATTAGTTGGGTTTAAATGGACACTTAAAAAAACAGTGACTGCAGCCTATGGATGATCCTTGACTGGTCCAACTTTGCAGACCCTACAGACCCCTTTTCCTTAATTTGGGGCATTCTGTCTGGGTGTCTCTCCGTGCCACCCTGTTCGTTTTTCATTTGTTATGTTGTTGCTATAATTATTCCCCCATTGTGCTCAGGAATTATGCTTCATTTACATATTCTCACTGCTTAACTTGTTTATGCCGTGTTTGAAGATCAGTCCAAGTTTCCGGGGTTTGTGAAGAAAACGGTGATATTTCGCTATTGGAATAATTTCACAGGAATGTAGTTTGGCTGCAGTGTGGCTCTGGTAGGGAATAGTGGGGGTGTAGCACTCAGGGGTGTATGGGGATGAAAACTGGGAGGGATTTTTAATGTGAATTTCCGAGTCCCGTGCAGCGATTCTGGAGCGCTTGGAATGCGTGGAGCGGCGGAACGCCTGGTTTGTTGATGTATTTAGAGATAACCGAGCTGCTCCAGGCTCTTAAATAGATGCATTGATGGGTGTACTACGGGGAAATGTGTTAGAAAACAGGTTCTCTGTAAATGCAACGCATTTGAGACAAACCTTTAAGTATAGTTCTGCTGAATTAGGTGTCAGATCCTGCCTCCAGCAGGAGTGGGCTCTGCAGCATCCTCGGCGTGCAACGAGTGCGAATGTTTAATTTTTTAC